CCTGATAATAGGAATTTATGAATAAGATTTACGTCTATAGGCTTTTGTAACTTACTTAAATAAACCCACCTGTGTGTTAGATTTTCATTATCCTAACTTTCTGGGCCATGTTGACCTGTAGAGGATGTACAAGGCAATTGAAATCTATTTGCGGCAGTCTAATGAGAATGTGCCTGTTAACATATGCTTGTATGTGATTGGATAACCGACAGAACACTCATCCAATGAAATTACACAACAGAAGAAATACTAACAATGCTATTCTATATATACACCAGTTCTCACTGGTTTTGTAGATTGGTTGACAAAATTTATGGGACGTCTTTCTTTCAATATATACAACATGTGTATTGAAATTTACAAAGTATGTAAATTAGAGTTACCTCCCCTTACCTCCTCGAGTTTTCCCGGAATCGAACCGGCGCCTAGTACTTAAGTGCATGTTGGAGCCCTACACACTAGTATGAGTAGTAAGCAGTAAGCCCATGACACCACTCATGACCATTGCATCATGTATTAAGACTAATGCGCCCCTGCTGTCTAGAGGATTGACAAAATATGCTTCAATTCAGTGCTAAAATGGTGTGATTTTAGGGTGTGTATGAAATTGATTAATACACAAATGACTGTCAGATACCATTTATTGTTTAAAAAGTTATCTTACTTGCTTTCACTCATTAGATATGTTTCAAAATAACTAACTAAATAAATGGTATCTGGCAGACACTCATGTGGTAATTTCTAGGTATCATTCCCAGCCCTGGTTTTAAGAGTAACATTTCAGTAAATTGTTCCCACACAGATCTCTGATGAATATCATGATTTTAGTACAATTAGTACTTATTGTTACAATACTTATCTGGCAGTGTCATCAATGACAACCATCTTCAGAGCTCCAGATAACTTTTTAAGCAATTGCGTTTTTACTCAAAGGTATCTATTTTAATTTGGTTATTAGATTTTTCATTGGGTAACCAATATTTTTCACTCATCTGCTCATCACTCTATTGGGTTTTTCCTAAAATGAGTAAGCATTTGGGGATTTAAAAAAACAACTTCATTGGGCATTCATGCATGCTGTTTACAAACAATTGCGCTTTCCATTTAATGCATGCGTTTCTGTATGCAAGGTAATTGAAAGTAATTGGGTTTTGAATAGTTTTGGGGGGGTATTTTACGCAAGTACACTGCTTATCTGTAGCTCTGACTTATGTGGCAGTGTCATTAATGGCAAGGGGGCGGTCGGGTAGCCTAGTGGTTAAAGCGTTCTCTCGTCACGCCGTAGACCCGGGTTCGATTCCCAACATGGGTCCAATGTGTGAAGCCCATTTCTGGTGTTCCCCGCCGTGATATTGCTGGAATATTGCGAAAAGCGGCGTAAAACCATACTCACTCACTCACTCATTAATGGTAACCATCTTAAAATGCATAATGATTATCATCTGTTGGATAATCTAAATATCATAACATGATGCAGTGTTCAATTTCAGTGATAGTTGAGACGAAGAAATCTTGAAGTACCCAGTTTGATGATGTCAAGCCCAAACATTACAAATAACACACAACAAAAGGATTAGTCATGTAGTATGGTAATATCCTGATTAACTGTAGAGTTATTGGGTGTGTTCAAAGATGAATGTTGTGTAGACAAGTAAGGGTTAGTTAGACACAAATTGGATTTGGGTTTGAAGGTAGTGAGTTGCCACTGTTCCAGCATTAAACAGAATAGATGCTGCTCTCTAAAAGACTCTGGGTTAAAACACATCTGTGACGTCATTCTATTGTTTGAACGCTCAATTATTTTTCAGGAATGGAGAGTTGCTTGTCAACTGTACATTATCTTGAAGCAGCATTTGAATTTTTCAAATATTTTCAATTACAGAATATTTTGTCAAAGTGTAAAAGTAGGGATGAGTTTTAAGTAGGGGAATATCCTCATAACTCTCCATTCCTGCGGGGCCTCTGCTCCATTATTTTTAAGGAATGGAGAGTTACTTGGACATTTCCCTCTACTTAATGGCTTTGGTGATTTAATAGAAGCCTGGGCATCTAATATAGGAAATATGGTCCCCCTGCTCTATCTGTGGGTGTGTTGCCATAGGCTGTGGTACACTAAAGTCTTGTGGAGCAGTCTATGCAGGGACTCAGTGCATGCAGGTTATTGAGGCAAGGCTTGAAAGACCCCTCCAGTCCAGTTAATTGGAACGCTCCTAGGTGATCTAGGCCTTAGTACTTTGGAATTCACCTTTGAAGGTAAACATGACTAAGGTTGCTGTGGGTGCAGAAGGGCATGTGTATTTCTCTAGGGAATAACTCAAGGTCTCAGGCTTCAGAACATTTCCTGTCGTATTGGAGGGAATCTTTTAAGGATGACCGGCTCTATTGAGTAACATAAGATTTGAGATAGGAGAACGTAACTGTCGTTATGAAAAAGAATCTGTATAGATTACTGTTTACAAATATTTCTTGTGAATACCCTACATCTATTACATCATAACCATAAATTCATGTTTATGCTGAGAACCACACTAAAATTTTAAATATAATTTCAACAGACGTCCTCTTCACTGCCAACTTATCTAACAGTTGTGAGGGGAAACCCTCCATATCCATACAATCTAGGCCATCTATAAGCCATTCCAGAATGTTCTTCTTATAAGTTTTAATTTTTTTAATCGAGAATACGTCAAAATATGTTTTGAAGCGTAGTCGCCAGTTTGAAACTAGTGTCGTAAAGCTCGAGAAAGCTGCCTTCTGAATGGCTAATGTTGACTTCTTGTCAGTCATTTCATTGGTCGGTCAAAATTCGTGAAAGGTCGTTCTGACGTGACCCGTAATGGAATGTCCTCAAATCTTTGTGTAGCGGTAGTGAAAACTAAGATCTGATTGTAAGGAGATTGTAGTTAATCTGTCATGTTAGAATAGTTCTTTTGAGTGGTATACATCAGTCAGGCCAAGCTTATATGTGAATTATCCGGCATTTGGTGTTGGGGACATTTTAGTGCAGTGGCTTGTGTTAATATTTGGAGTGAGTTATCTACATTGATCTACCTGCATCAAGAAAGTCCAAAGTACTGTTAATGCTAGAACATTTTCTTATAATTATTATCAATAAATTGCAAGTGATTGTATGTCATTTGTTTAGCTAACCAGGCCATTTTTTGTGTGTTTGTATTAATCCTTACAAAATTAGGCCACACCCACTACCGGATTACTGTTTCCTGTTTGACTGCTGATACAATGGGTGGGGCTTTTGATACATTACTGTGTAGAAGGGTGTCACCGATTCCCTGTTGTGTCTGACAGCTGTTTGTGTTCATAGTTAAATGGGGGCCGTGGGGTAGCCTAGTGGTTATAGGGTTCGTTCGTCATGCCGAAGACCCGGATTCAATTCCCCACATGGGCACAATGTGTGAGGCCCATTTCTGGTGTCCCCCGTCGTGATATTGCTGGAATATTGCTTCAAAACGGCGTAAAACCATACTCACTCACTCACTCATAGTTAAATGATAGTTTGTGAAGTTATTAACACATCGTGTGTAGTCTGTGTCATTGGATTTTGACTTGTTCTCAGCACAGTTTGGTTGTCTCAGAATAGCAAACAAGTGTGAATTTCCAAGGTTGCCAAGCTAATGATTGAAAAAGAGATGTGTATAATCCACCATTAGATACAGATCAGTCTAGTGGTGAACTGGTGCCTTTTGATGATTTGGGATATATTTTTGGACTTATTCTGCTTGTTTCCAGAGCAGAACTTCAAAACCATTGAATATTTTATGATGAAACATGCCATACAGAGCAGTCTAGTGGTGAACTGGTGCCTTTTGATGATTGGGGATACTGTAAACTACAGTTATAATGAACTCAAAGGGACCACTTAATTTAGTTTGTTATAACCGTAGTTCGTTATAAGTATATATACAGCATACATAGGGCGAATGCCTGGGACCAAAAAACATAGGTCGTTATATCCACCAGTTGGTTATAAGCGTGTTCATTATATATGTAGTTTACTCTTTTTATTTTTTTATGTTTTCATGATGACAAGTTAGAGTTTACTGAAAATGAGTTTACTCCAAAACTGTTTAATATTTCTTGATGAAACTTGCTACACAGATCAGTCTAGTGGTAAACTGGTGCCTTTGATCATTTGGGATGTTGCAAAATATTGAACAGTATTATTCTTTTCTTCACTGAACTGAACTGAACTGAACGTATCCAATGGCAATGAACCAAAAGTGGGGTATGATACCCAAACTCCTTTTCCAAATGGCACCAGAACTGGGGGATATGTCATCTCCTGATGACTCTTGTTATTTAGTGTTCTGTATGGTGTGTATTGGCCAAAAAAGTGCAATGTGATTCTGGTGTCTGTATTGCGATATGTATTACGAAATATTGAGAGCTAAAGTGTTTGAGGGTGATTGACATTGATTGTACATGCAGATCCTATTTCCTACATTCTGAAGAACAGATTACTCAGCATGATCAGTTGCCGCCATGTTGTTGTCATAGATACAGGGGAGATAACTACGTGAGATATTAAATCACTTCCACATTTCCTCATTTACTCAGTTTTGTCTATCAATTTCAAGGTGAAACAACATTTGTGAATGAATTTAAAGGTTAAACAATACAAAAAATTACAAAACCCTTTTTCACCTAATATACCGGTGTGGTGGTAAGCATACAAAATATTGCTATTCAGAAACAAAATGAATATTACAAAGTCGACACAATTAATGGATAACAACTTTTTTTTAATTACTGTAAAGGCGACGTTTCGGTATAGATCCTAATGCCATTGTCAAACAAGACAACGGTATAAGGATGGATACCAAAACATCGCAGGGTAATAGGGTGATGGGTACCTGGGCAGTAAATTTGGACCCGTCCCAGCCCTAAAGTACTGCCTATCAAACAATTCAGACATGAATATTGCTGTTGTTTGTATTTGTGTATGTACACCGCTGACACCTACAATTGTTTCTCTACTACAGGTTACTTCACATACGACTTCTTGGACATGATCTACAACAACAAGATCTTCAAGATGTGGGAGGTCACACTTCACCATTTAGCTGTGAGTCACACTCCATCATCCTGCCTATAGCTCTCGGATGGGTTGGTATGGGGGTAGGGGAATGATCCAGGTAGGAGCGGATCATTCTTTTGGGATTTGGGCAGGAGCGGTCATCTAGCCTTCCCTGGGGAAACCTGTGGGAATTATCGTTCAGAATTGGACTGTCTCCGTGGTCTAGTGGTAGAGTGTTGGCCCGGAGAGCAGAAGGTTGTGTGTTTGATTTCCGGCTGCATCATACCAAAAGTCGTTAAAAGATGGTACTTGTTGTTGCCCTGCCTGGAACAGCCCTGCTAAAACAAGGACTGGTCTTCTCTGAGTCCGTATTCTGTGTCTGAGTGGGGAATTCATGTTAATCTGCAACATGGTATCTCAGTGGGCCAGCACTATAAATCGGCATGAGTCCGGACTAGTACAAGCAGCCACACACACGTGCATGCATGTCTCTATATAAGTGCAATAACCTTGAACTTGAAGTTAATCCCCATTCTACCTCACCTCTGGTTCATAATAGGTCGCAAGTTTGTCTTATTGGCCACTGAAATGAGGATCAAAAGGTCTAGCACTGTAATTTGTAATTTTTACTAACATCTGCTGTGCCCAAATTTTTGGCCTCTGTACAGGTCTACATGAATCCCTGGTGTTGTTGTTCGTGACATCATGCTATGAGCCACTTGGCTGTCTGTCTCAGACTTGATCATGGCATATGCTGGAGAATTGCAGACTGCTGAATAAAATAACATTCATTCCCTCATCCTTGTGGGATTTCCTGGGCTGGATAGTCATCCTTGTGGGATATCCTGGACTGGATAGGTCATCCATCCTTGTAGGGTATCCTGGGCTGGATAGGTCATCCTCATGGTATATCCTGGGCTGGATAGGTCATCCTTGTGGGGTATCCTTGACTGGATAGGTCATCCTTGTGGGATATTCTTGGGGGGATAGATCATCCTTGTGGGATATCCTGGACTGGATAGGTCATCCTTGTGGATATCCTGGACTGGATAGGTCATCCTTGTGGATATCCTGGACTGGATAGGTCATCGTTGTGGGATATCCTGGACTGGATAGGTCATCCTTGTGGGGTATCTGGGGCTGCATAGGTCATCCTTGTGGGATATCCTGGACTGGATAGGTCATCCTTGTGGGATATCCTGGACTGGATAGGTCATCCTTGTTGGGTATCCTTGACTGGATAGGTCATCCTTGTGGGATATTCTTGGGGGGATAGATCATCCTTGTGGGATATCCTGGACTGGATAGGTCATCCTTGTGGATATCCTGGACTGGATAGGTCATCCTTGTGGATATCCTGGACTGGATAGGTCATCGTTGTGGGATATCCTGGACTGGATAGGTCATCCTTGTGGGGTATCTGGGGCTGCATAGGTCATCCTTGTGGGATATCCTGGACTGGATAGGTCATCCTTGTGGGATATCCTGGACTGGATAGGTCATCGTTGTGGGATATCCTGGACTGGACAGGTCATCCTTGTGGATATCCTGGACTGGATAGGTCATCCTTGTGGGGTATCTGGGGCTGCATAGGTCATCCTTGTGGGATATCCTGGACTGGATAGGTCATCCTTGTGGGATATCCTGGACTGGATAGGTCATCATTGTGGGGTATCTGGGGCTGCATAGGTCATCGTTGTGGGGTATCCTGGGCTGGATAGGTCATCCCTGTGCGATATCCCCAGCTGGATACCCATCAATATCCCATGCTTGTCTGAGAGGTGACTTAAATGAGGATCAAATGGTTAGAATGTTGCTACCTGACTGAGTGTGTGTCATCTTAGATTTGTATCCTGATTGTGTGGATTGCTGCTGCTCTTGTAGAATTCCAGGGTGCACTTTAGCCATGAACATGATGGATACTTTGTTGCCAGTGTATCCCTGGACTAACAGTTTGTCCCAGATATGAAATCTTTTTTATTAATATGTCCCTTGAAAATAAATTATAGCTAAATCCAGTGGAGCCCAGAACAATGCTAAAAGAGTGAGTTGGATTCATTTATATATCTTTTTCCTTGGGTCTGGGTCACCTCTTATGTCTGATTCACAGTCAGACAATGAACAGTTTGGTCCTTCTGGTTCCAAGACCCAAGAAATCATTGCTGTATTAACCATTGCTTGAAAATGAGATCTGTCACCCAGTGCAGTTGAGACAGCATCAGTCTTCACAGACATCAACAGTGTTCCCGCTGGCTTTGGAAGCTGCCAGTCATGGTGGACTGGCTACTCTATAACTTACCAGTCCCTTCTCATATTTGTCAGTCCCAACTTTCAACAAATAAAAAAAACGTATGAAATTTTCCCTGTTTAAGTTCCTTTTGTGTCATGTTCAATGCAATGACTTCATCTCTGCAGTAACTTAGTTAGATCTACATGTCATTTACACAAAATTCAGTCACAAGTTTCCTTTTTTGGGGGTGAATATTTCGTGGCGAAGTCTAAAATATGTATTCGAAGTATTAAATGCCAAGGGCGCTCTCAAAATTAGAAGTAGGGGGCTCTTATTGGAATATTATTTTGGTGGAAAAAAAACCAGTTGAAAGATCGTAAATTTAGGTGGTTTCTGCTGACAGCCTGAAATGTTTATATACGACAGATATATTTTTCCAGAGTGTAATTGCACATAATTAAGGGTGTATATAACACATGAGTGCGTATTATACGCGAATAAATAAGTCTTGTGTACATTGAACGATCAGAAGGGGTGCTAATTAGGATTGTTCACTTGCCAATATATTAGCAAATATTGCTGTGGGCGCTTATTAGAGCGTAGCGCTAATTACGTCGAATACAGTAAACCTCGAAGCAAAGCAAAATTTGCTTTCCTTGCACTAAAAATAGACAAGGGGAAACTCCTGATGGTAACAGAAAAGCTGACTTTGTTAAAATAATATACTATATGAACATTGCTGTTGTTTTGTTCAACAACAAAGATTTATAAGGTACTTAATTTGCCGGTTCACAGGGACTGGCAGTCACATGAATTACCAGTCAAAACCTAATTTTACTGGTGAAAAACTGGTAATTACCGGTAAACAGGAACACTAAATGTTCGTCAGAGATTTATCCATGATGCCAAACTAAGTACCGTTGCCAGGCAGTTGGGAAAAATCATTATTATTCTGCTCAAATTACTGGTGAAATACCAAAGTCATAATCAAGTAACATCTGTTACAACAATATAACATGAAAAAGGGAAATTTGTAATTCGTATTTGGGAATATTTACTGACATTTTCTGCTGACCTGGGGCCTTTCAACAAGCCTAGATAAGTCTCTGTTCAATTTTGTGTGTATGGTCCAAACAAGATGTTATGTCTGTATTTGAAATAAGTCAATTTTATATCAAATATGCACAACTTAACTGAAAATCCAGTAGTTGTTGTTTAGTATGCACATAATCATGGTACCATTTCATCAATAGGATACATAAATACTGAAGTGCCTGTCAGTGACCATGGTAACCAAAACAAACCAAATTAATTTCTGTTTTTGCAGGTGATCTCTATGTTCTGGTATAACATGCATCACCGGGTGGCTATAGCCTTCAACATGGTGGCGCTGCTGGCTGAAGTCAACTCATTCTGGCTGCACTCCAGGAAGCTGCTGCAGATGATCCAAATGAAATTTGAACACTGGTTCTACAAAGTCGTTGCCTTCATGAACCTCGTAACATTTGCCATATTCCGAGGAGCGGCTCTGGTGTCCATTACCGTGGCGATGTGCTTCTGGTACCAGCGGGTGACTGCTCTTTATTACTTCAGCTTGGGGTCGGCCATGTTCGTCATGAATGTTATAAACCCCATTCTCTTCTGGAGGCTTCTGAAGAGCGATTTTCTACGGAAAAGGCGGACGGATCATAAAGCGGAAAAATTTGCTGTCAACGGCCATGGGAATAACAATGTGAAGGTCATGCATGAACATGTGAACTGATGGTTGCAAATGCAGTATTTTAATATCGTAATGTTTGTATGATATTCATGTGTCAAAATGGACTATTTTCTATTTCATGATATTTTTTTTTTACCATTGTGAATTGCACGTCTGGTTTTTATCTCATGTGCCATGATGTGCCATGATGTGCCCAGGAGTCGATGAAGGCAAGGGTCATGAGGTCCATTAGTTTAATGTTGGTAGTAAGGTGTTAGGGAGGTGTGAGGGATTTCCTTTGCATCTGATGCTGTTATAAAACTCCAGGGCTCAAGACCTCATACAAATGTGAACAACTAAGAAATGATTTGTGGTGCTAATTCATAGAACACAACCCACAATTGTTTGTTTTTAAAACTTTTAGAGCTCTTCTGGTTTCATTCAAGAAAAGGTATTTTAAGTGATATTTTGCTCTCAGCAAATTTTTCACCAAATTACCTTCAGCCATTTACTGACTTTTTAAGCATTTTAATGGTGTTTTTAAAAGAGAATTGACCTTCTACATGTTATAGTACACTACACACAGAAACAATAGCAGTAAGCTGTCAGTGTACATCCACTTCGCCCTGTTGATAGTGATAGTCGCCATTCTAATAAGAAATAATTGACTGAGGAAGTTGCATTGTAAATATCTTCAGTGGAGATGTGAATTGTAATCTCATTAAAATCAGATCTTTTGCTCCGATAAGATGCCTCTCTGCAGCAAGATCTCACAAACTGTCCACAGGAGGTCGCATCTGTTGAACCTTGAGCGAACTTTGACCTTCCAACCTAAATGGAGGATGTGTGAGTTCTTGAGCTTATCAGATGTTAGCTTTCTAAAATGATTCAGCTTTATTTCAGTTAAGAAATTTTAATTTTATCTTAACAAAGGAAACCATAGAACTCAAATGTTCCATCTATCTTACATCCTTTTGGGTGTTGATGCCATGGCACTCAGAAATGACAGGATGTATGAAATATCCACAACAATATAATTATTATTTTCCATTTGGAACTTACTGTTTTTGTTCATTTTTTATATACAGAAATCAGATATTCTGAATACTTCACTTGCTTGTACCAAGAATTTTGAGCCTCAACACTGATTGGCTGATGAGAAGGATCCTGTGGGGGGTTGTCAGATTTTCTCGTGGAGTGTTGTCGTATTGGAGTAACCGATCTGAGTATTAAGGGACTGATGTCATTTGTAGTATGCTCCTCAGGACCTGGGCGTGTCTGTACCTTCTACATTTAATAAGACCTGTCTGACTGTGTGCTTTAAGATCATCTATTTATTTACTGCTTTTTATATGAATATATTGGTATTTTCATAACTGTATTTCATGACTTTCATTGTTTTGAAAAATGTTGACATATCATATTCAAGTCAGGAAATAATTCTTCTGGGTAATTTCAGTGTGTGAAGACAGTTCTCTGCATGTGGTTGTATTGTTGATCTCTAGATACATTCGGGCTGCTGCTTCCTTCGACTTGAACTCAACTAGATGTTTGCAAGTATAGTTGGTCTACAGGGTTGGGAAAATGATTGTGTGAACACAACTGACTGATGACATTCTCCTCACATCAATCCAGGCACTTTTATTCCTGCCATTACTTTTTTTACGTTCAGTACATTTGTGTAATTTGATTACCGTATTCGACGTAATAAGCACCCAGGGCGCTCTCAAAATTAGAAATAGATGGCTCTTATTAGAATAACAGAGTTGAAAGATAAATTTTGTGGTTTATGCTGACAGCCTGAAGTGTTTATGTACGACAGATATATTTTTCCAGAATTTAATTACCCATAATTAAGGGTGCATATAACACACGAGTGTGTATTATACACGAATATATAAGTCATGTGTACATTGATCAATCCGAAGGAGTGCTAATTGGGATTGTTCACTTGCCAATATATTAGCAAATGTCGCCGTGGGGGCTTATTACGTTGAATACGGTAAGTCTGAGCTTTGTTTTTGTAAGTTGAATGTACATTATAGATGGGACTAAGGAACTCAAAATTGAAACACTTTGGAAAGGTGAGGATGTTTTCATTTGATGCCGACAAATGAAAACCAAACTAGCATATACAGCACAGTATGAATTAGATACATGTATGTATTGGTGAAAAGATTGTATTGCGATGCGTATTGCGATATTTTGGGATCTGAAGGTATTGGCACTGATTGTGAATGCAGATCACATTTTCTACATACTAAAATATGTCAACGACATTTTGTCAATGACATTTTGTTGTTATCATGGATACAGGGGAGATAAAATGACTTCTAAGTTCCGCCTTTCTGTCAATCAATTTCGAAGGGAAACATCCTTTGTAAATGAATTTCTTTGTAGATTTTAGGTTAAGCAATACAAATAATAACAAGACTTGTTATGCTGTATTTTTTTATCTAATATGCCAGAACATAGAAAAAATATTGCAATCTGAAGCACAATCACCGTCATTTTTCATACATCCATTTTTTTAGTTTCATGTTCATTTTCCCACCCCTGTGCCCAGCTTTGTAATATTTATTAGGCAGAAATTAATTTTTGGAGTTTAGTCTAGTCATGAACATGAGTAAGTGACAAGGTTCATAAATTGGCGTGGAGGCACTGAGTAGCAGATATAACATAGGCTGACATTTCAGGCTGCTGTCTTCTTGTTTCCGGCATTTTGCTGCAATCCTTTGAAATGCTACTCCCAAGAAGGGCCCAACAACTGTTGAATGTTGTGTGTTTAAGTGGATTTAAACAGAAAAACCATGATCAAACCAAGATTGTTTTTGTGCCTATACAATGCTGACATATTTTTCTATAAACATAATTAAATATTTCTACCCAAATGAAGAAATAAATGCTTCGTTTTTGTTGAAGTTCTTGCAACACAGGTGCTTTCTTCATGTTGGGATACATGTGTAGAATATTTTCTCTCAGAGTTAGTTCATTATATATATATATATATATATATATATATATATATATATATATATATATATATATATATATTCTTAAAGTACAATATTTTAAGCATGTTAAGAATTTGTAACTCATGAAATTAATGATGAAAGTGATTTCAAAATCAGTATATTTGACCAAGGAAATTTCTGTGGTGTCCAAGGACATTTATTTGTTATGTCCAAAGATACTTCTTGTGGTTTCTAAGGATACTTCTTGTGTGTCTGATAATTCCTATGTGTCCGAGGAAACTTCCTGTGTGCCCAAGGATACTTCCTGTGTGTCCGAGGATACTTCCTGTGTGTCCGAGGCTAATTCCTGTGTGTCCAAGGATACTTCCTGTGTGTCCGAGGATAATTCCTGTGTGTCCAAGGATAATTCCAGTGTGTCCAAGGATACTTCTTGTGTGTCCAAGGATACTTCCTGTGTGTCCGAGGATACTTACTGTGTGTCCGAGGATACTTCCTGTGTGTCCAAGGATACTTCCTGTGTGTCCAAGGTTCGTGTGTCCAAGGATACTTCCTGTGTGTCCAAGGATACTTCTTGTGTGTCCAAGGATACTTCCTGTGTGTCCAAGGATACTTCCTGTGTGTCCAAGGTTCGTGTGTCCACATGTCCTTGGATTCTGACTCTATAACTCAAATGCCAAGTCTGAGGATCTTCAGAAGTAAATATACTTCGTGTGGTTATTCGAAGATTTACAGTATATATTTTCTCTGGTTATCAAAGTACCAAAATATCAAATTAAAAAAGATGATGGATCTTGGTAGGATTTGATAATTTTCTGCTTTTAGGTTTAAGGAGTTCTCTGTTCCCATGCACAGATGTATCCTGCCGTCTGAATGACTGCACAACATATAGTTCAGGAGAGAAAGCTGGCCGACATGGTTGAAAACAAGTTGTTTTTATATATTGTTTTGTCTAGCTACTGTTGATCAGTACTATGTCAGAGTATACTACTCTTCAAAATAAATCTCCCCTCAATTTTAACAATCGCGGACGTCTGTCTTGTTCTGCACAAATAGTATGCTGCCAAGATGGCGACCATGACTCTGGATGTTCATTCCTTCCTTTAGATTGAGGGGTATTTGTTTTGGAGAAGTAGTGTACCGCATTCAGAGGATATGTTAGATAGTAATGCAGTATTTCGTGCATGTGCTTCTTTTATTAGCTGAATCTGATGTATATTCATTGTTACCGTGGTTACTTGCTCCAGGAGAAGGGTAACAAAAGTCAGGGTCAGGAAGAAAAAAAACGCCCCAACCCCTATTTGGGTTTCCAGATTTCCTGAACTGTCCAATGGTTAATTTGTGTTGATTCAGGGGCCTGTTCACAGTGACTATGGTAGTGCCACTTCTGTCCTATCAACATGCCATGGCAGCTTTTGAAACATTATTTGCCATGGTTACGTTACTGAAGTTTATTTGGATTAATATTATTGTGGTCAAATCTTTAAGTATTTGAAATAACTGATATAAGTATATGTGAATGAGCACAGTAAATAACATTAACAAAATATGTTTACTGGGTTTTAATTCCATTGAAACAATTTGTATATTCTGATATTTGTGATGCTGATAAATATTTGTTTGGGCAGGTTTGCTTTCCGATTTCCTGTTACCATGGTTACTTGTAGATAGAGGGAGAATTGTGTACAAATTATGTCTATACTTATCATGAAGAGGTTGATCCTTGGTAAAAATATTTGTCTTATGATTGCTGAATTCAGTACAGCCGCGCCATAATTCTATCTTTCAGGGATGATTGTTCTGTATTTGTCATGAGAGAAACAAAATGAAGTCCTTCGTGTCAGTGTTGTTCTAGTCACGTTCAGACTTGAAGGTATATTTCTCTGTTGTAAAATGTCACAGTGGAAGATGGCGCCTGAGCTGATTTATTTGTTAATTTGAAAATCATAACTTTCCTACTGAACGTTCTTGTCCATTTTTTGGTATCACAAGACCAGTGATTTAATTAAAATTCTTGTTCTTGTTATATATTTTATTGAGGACAGTATGTGTGGTTTGAGCATGTGATGCTGTTATTGAATGTAAAGCAAACTGATGAATGAGACATGTTATGAAATGGCCGTTGTCATACACTAATGACTAATTTATTAAATGATCACCTGCCTGGCTTGCTGTGTTCTCCAACGGCTGTTCACATCTTGTAGAAACAATTGAGTCTTGATTATAAGATTATATTTTTTATGAATTCCCAAAAAAATTGAATTGAGAATTTCAGAAAAAAATCATTTCTTCGACCTTATTTCCTTCATTGTCAATATCTTGCATATATTTTCAGTATGCAATTTCTTGAAGTGACATACAAGTTCTTGTGGAACATGGCCTTCCACACTAATAGACCAGTAAGTGTATTTAGAAAAATATGTAGCACACAATGATATGGGAGAAGTTTCCACGACTGCACTTTTATGAAATTGATGAAATCTCTGACCAAGAATA